CAGCAGCAGCAGCAGCAGCAGCAGCGGCAGCAGGAATGAGGATTGCGACAAAATCAAATGCAGAGACGCACAAGAGGAGAAGCAAAATAACGTCTTTCACCTCAGGTCGTAGCAGCAGCAGCAGCAGCAACAGCAGCAGCAGCAACAGCAACAGCAGCAGCAGCAGCAGCAGCAAAAGAAGCAGCAGCAGCAGCAGCAGCAGCAACTGACCTCAATGACCTTTGGGTCGAGTATAATGTCTTGGTAGACAAACTCCAGTGTTCGCATGCCGATGCCTGAATACAACAAACACAACCCTGCTGCTGCTGCTGCTGTTGCTGCTGCTGCTGCTGCTGCTGCTGCTGCTGTTGCTGCTGCTGTTGCTGCTGCTACTGCTACGGTCGTATGTGCATGCTGCTACTCCTGGTGAATGCAGAACGACTGCAGCAGCAGCAGCAGCAGCAGCAGCAGCAGCAGCAGCAGGCACCAGAACTGTCTCCCAAGCCCATGTCAGTAACAGCAGGAATTACGCAGCAGCAGCAGCATCACCAGCGCAGCAGCAACAACAAAAACAGCAGCAGCAGCAGCAGCAGCAGCAGCAGCAGCAGCAGCAGTACCTTTGCTCTGTACGTGGGGAAAGACTAGGCACTGACTGAGTCTTCGCCTGTAACCCCAAAAAGCATAAAAAGTATATAAAGTAAAAATACCAGCTAGCTCCCATCTGCTGCCTTGCTGCTGCTGCTGCTGCTGCTGCTGTTGCTGCTGCTGCAGCTGCAGCTCATCCGTCGGCTGCGCTTCCTCCTGGTCCTCTTGCTTCTCTACTGCTGCTGCTGCTGCTGCTGCTGCTGCTGCTGCTGCTGCTTTCGAAGCGGGCTTCACGGATGCTGCCTCTGCAGCCTCCTTATCTGCTGCTGCTGCTGCTGCTGCTGCTGCTGCTTCGTCTTCTTCTGTTGATGCTGCAGCAGCAGCAGCAGCAGCAGGAGATCCCTTCTCTCTCTTCGCAGCTCTGCATGCGTTTGTTCCTTTCTTTGTGTTGAGTGTCCGCTGTTGCTGCTGAGTGGTTGCTGCTGCTTCTGCTGGTGGTGTTGCTGTTGCTGCTGCTGCTGCTGCTGCTTCATTGTCTGCTGCAACAGCAGCAGAAGCAGCAGGATAAGCAGCAAACACAGGCAGAGCTGTGAACGTGCTGTCTCCTCTGCTGTCTCCTTCTGTTGCTGCTGCCCCCACAAGGCAACCCCCCGCCCCCCCCTGGCCCCGCATTGCTTCAATCTGCTTCCTGCAGCAGCAGCAGCAGCAGCAGCAGCAGCAGCAGCAGCAACAGCATCAGCAGCAGCGACAGGGACTGCAGCGATGAAAAAGGGAATTCATAGAGCAATCGTCGAAGAGAAGCAGCATCAGCAGCAGCAGCAGCAACAGCAACAGCAGCAGCAGCAACAACAGCAGAACAGCAGCAACAAGAGCCGCAGCAGCAACAGCAGCAGCAGCAACAGCAGCAGCAGCAACAGCAGCAGCAGCAACAGCAGCAGCAACAGAAGTAGATGCAGTACTCACCTAGCAGCAGGGAGAAGGCTGAGTTCTGTTAGTTGTTCCTGCTCTTGCTGCTGCTGCTGCTGCTGCTGCTGCTTTTGCTGTTGCTTCTGCTGCTGCTTCTGCTTCTGCTGCTGCTGCTGCTGCTGCTGCTGCTGCTGCTGCTGCTTCTCCACGCGCAGCACAAACGGCAGCAACACAGCCCATTGGGGGTCGGGGTGTATAGACGAAGCAGACTCAATAAACCAATGCAAAAACCACTGCACTCGCCTGCATGCAAACCCTAAACCCTAAACCCTAAACCCTAAACCCTAAACCCTCAACCCTCCATGCAAACCCTAAACCCTAAACCCTAAACCCTCCATGCAAACCCTAAACCCTAAACCCTCGATTTCAATAAACCAATGTATAAACCACTGCACTCGCCTGCATGCAAACCCTAAACCCTAAACCCTAAACCCTAAACCCTAATCGAGGGTTTACAGACGAACCCATGCAAGGCAGCAAACTCTTGGCCGCTCTCAGTAGCGGAGAAGACACACTCGCGTATCTGCAGCAGCATCATCTCGCTGCTGCTGCTGCTGCTGCTGCTGCTGCTGCTGCTGGAGGGGAGCAGCACTTGAGCTCGCACGCGGCCAGGGGGACTGAAGTTGGCGCT